AGTGGGTATTCACCCACAAAAGCTTATGCTCCAGTACGTCTGTTAGTCTATAAGGTGCCACAGGACTCTTTGCCGCTTTTACAGATCCAGACTAACATGGCTACCCCTCTGAAAGTTAAACAGAAATTAAAAGTACCTCCTCATTTTTGCATAGTTCCCCTTTCTGAAATTAAATGCCACAGTGCTGGGCTGCTGAGGTGTTCTTCCCACCGTAAGAATGTTAAATGTTGTTATATTATGGTCACTATTTCCAAGCGGTCCTCTTATAGTTACCTCTTGGACCAGATCCTGCGCTCCACTCAGGACTAGATCAAGAATTGCCTCTCCCCTTGTGGGTTCCTGTCCAGCTGCTCCAAGAAGCAGTCATTTAAAGTATCGAGTAATTTTGTCTCTGCATTTCATCCTGAAATGACATGTACCCAGTCAAATACGGGGATAATTGAAATCCCCTACTATTATTGAGTTCTTTATTTTGATAGCCTCTCTAATCTCCCTTAACATTTCATAGTCACTGTCACGGTCAGGTGGTCGATAATAGATCCCTACTGTTATATTCTTATTAGAGCATGGAATTACTATCCATAGAGATTCTATGGAACATGTGGATTCATTTAAGATTTTTACTTCGTTTGATTCACATATAGTGCCACTTCCCCAACACACCCCTGCAAAACCTGTTCTGTCCTTACGATATATTTTGTACCCCGGAATGATTGTGTCCCATTGATTGTCCTCACTCCACCAGATTTTTGTGATGCCTATTATATCAATATCCTCCTTTATCCTCTTCCATCCTCTCCTCCTGACTAAAACCTAGATAATCTCTATCAACAGACTCTCCTTTAAGAGAAGTCTCTGTCCGATCCACGTGCTCCTCTGCAGCAATCGGCTTTCCCCCATCTCTTAGTTTATTTTATAACTTTACATACAATGTTGCCACACATATTTTACCAGGACAATACCAATCAGCAAATTATGAATTTTCAAATGATACCTCACAAAGCATACTTTGTACAAAATTTATCATAGTCTTGTAAAATGGGTGAACGTGGGGTACAAGACTGTTAGCAGACCAGCATGATCACAGAGAGAAATTGGATTTGATTCAAGGGGATTGAGCTTCACATTCCTTTTGTCACTACAGCTAAGCTGACAAGGCCATATCTAGCACAGTATATCTAGATTGACATGTCTGATAAACTAACAATTTATTTCTTTTGTTTAAATTCCATTTTCTCTTCTCAATACATCTTCCTTTGTTTCTTCTCCTTTTTCAAGGTTATTGTTGTCTGAGTAATTTCATGCAGACATCTCCATGGAAAAGAGGACGTGTAACCTCTATGGGGAAATGCTGATGAGTGAAGAGTGTCTGGAACCTTTGCCCCCTTCCCAGTCTCAATCAAGGGGCCTGGGAAGAGGAATCTTCTGCCAGGGAGTTATGATGCCATTGGGCTGTGGCAAACACAATGGGAGAAACAGAAAAATGAAGGAGACAAGAGTTGGTGGGTGTTATTCTCATAGAGAAACCTCAACATTTGTGCTTGTCTACTCTGCTACAGTCCTTAATTACACAATCACAAACTATTATTTCCACATGACCCTACCTAATTCCATGTACAGCCTGGAGGGTGCACGGGCGGCAGGTGAAACTTCTTCTTGTGGAGGCTAGATCCTTGCCCTGCCTCTTCCACCCACGCTCCACCCCGGCTCTTCCCTAGGCCCTCCTCTGCCCACCACATCCCTCCTCTCCTCCACCCTCCTCCCCTGTATGGCCCCCCCATGCCTGCCGTGTCCCTCCTCTCCTCCATCCCCTCCCTCCAAGGCCCCCACCACTCACACTCTCCATGTCCCCCCTCTCCTACATCCCCCACCCCCATAAGGGCTGGGGGGCAAAAAGGGACATGCCGAGCAGCAGGCAGGGGGGTCTAACAGGGGAGGGGGAGAGGAGGGATGCAGCAATTGGTAGGGCCTTGGGGAAGAGGTGAGGCCTCCCTGGCCTATTATACCCACCTCCCAGGGCAGTGGGTAAGCAGCCATGGAAACTAGAGAATCCTGGCTCAATCTGAGCTAAACTGTAAGTCCACTGGGGTCAGTAGAATTACACTCCAAAGTGATGCCAGTGTAACTGACAGCAAATTTGCCAGGTTGGGTGGTTGTGTAAGACCAAGGCATAGGTGCACTCACTGAACATTGAAGAGAAATTAATGTATTTAAAGTAACATTTTAAAATAAATTATTTCTAAAAATTATCTAATTAAATCAATTTCAGTGGAGAAAAGCAATTGTTAATGCTGATAGTACCTGTATTTTGTATCCCCTACCTCTTCACTTCTGTTCCCAGCATTAAGGAGAAATGTTCTCCACCCACCCACGTTATTGGAATAGTTTAACGTTCATCCAATGAGGAACGTGAACTATTCCTCTCCCTCAACCCCAGCACCATTGCTTACTTGTTTATCAGAAGAGGAATTTCTCAGGTGAACGGCCGAAGCTTTGTCCAGCAGCACTTTCTGAGGTATATCATATTGTATGGACATCCATTTCAAAACAAATACATTTTCTCTATTGGGGGTTCAAGCTGCCTTACCATATACTGCCTGCAAAGCTACCTCAGCTGTATACAGATGATGTATGTATATGTATCCTGCAATCAAAGTACCTTAGATGCCTTGAAATCAGTACCCCCAATGACATCAACTCCATGAGAGCATGGATTAGTAATGTTGCTTCATTCTCAGGGCTGTGAACATCACATTGTGCTGCTGTTGATGCCGTTAGCTCTTTTATTGCAAATGTTATGTCTTTTGCCTGCCTTTTTTTCCCCCATTTCTGCTCCCTGGGAGCAAGGACTCAGCCCCTACTTAGACTCTCTCACAGCTGGCAGTTGTGGGTGAAGAAAACATGCTATTGCAGGGCTGTTTTAAAAAAAAAAAATGAAAAGTACTCACCCAAAGGTCTGCCCTCAAGCCAAGCTCTACCTACTGGAAATGCCTCCCATAGCAGATTGTGCCACGTTAAAATATGATCAGATAGACACCGCTGGGCTCCTCCCCTTGGTGGAGCATCAGTCATTTGACTCCAGAAGAAAGCTGCCTAAGCCACATCCATCAGAGCAGCCCTTGCCTCTGCTAGTCTGAGAGGAGAGTGGGACTGACTGGCTGCAAGCCTTAGATGACCCACTGGTCTTAGAGGGACAGGCTCTTTGGGGGCACAGGTGCATCTTTCACTCCATCCCTCCTCTCAGGCCTTTTTTACTCTACTGGTGAACCTGAGATAGAAGAAATGGTGATGCCTTCCAATATCATATACTTATGGTACCAAAATGAAACAATTCATATATGATCCTCCCTTTTTTTTTAAATAACTATTTCTCTTCTGCCAAAGTATGTAACACTGACATTTAAATGAGCATATTTAGGCACTTACATTAATACCCACTGAGATGACTGTGGGGTAGTTCACACCTCTCATACCATACTAGGCTGGGCTTTGCAGATACTAACACGTATAAAAGGCCAAGTAGACACTCATTTGTTTATCTTAAGTCAGAATTCAGTTTAAACGAAAGCAAAATAATCCTCTTAAACTAATGTCTACATAGGAGTTTGTTCTGGTTTAACTAGCTTTCAAACCAAATTAAATTACCGTAACTTGTGTGTGAAGATAAGACTTTCCTTTAAAATAATAAAATGCTTAAAATTCAGAGAATGAATTCAGACATAGGACAGGCATTCTAGGAACACCCTGCAACCACCCCCACAAGTAGGGTGGGCATGAAATATTCTGCAAGGCAGTTTCTTTCCTCCACAGTTGATTTATCAGGTTTAATGCAGATGTAGTAAAAATAAGCTTGTCAGGACAGGGATTCTTTTCTGTCTGCAGAGCATCCAGCACCATATGGCACTATGCCTCTGCTCATAATGAAAATATTTACCAGCACTAACAAAACCCAACACATGGCAGCTGCACAATTTCTCAGGTGAAAGGAGAAAAAAATACTGATGCAGAAATCGATTATTTCTACTTGCTATTTGATTTATGCACTCTTAAAGAAAAACAATTACTCTATTCTCATTCAGTCTGTGGAAACTGTACTCTAGTCAAAACATTTTCTGTATCAAAGCCTCTGTGAGCTGCCCACCAGTTGGCCACATAATCCTGAGATCCAACCAACTGCACTGCACTACTTAGTTGTGTGATAGCTAAGTACACTAGTCTGCACAAGGTGGGACTACTTAGAAATAGTTTGTTAGGGAATTTGCCCCTAACTCATAGGTTGGCAGATGGAGAGAGTAGAGCAGGAGTGGTAACTCTTGCTGTCCGTCTGCCTCCTTCTCCTCATCTTCTTTTAGCTCCCTACTTGCAGAAAGCTACATACAAGCTGAGTAGGTTGTTTGCTGGTAGTTGAGATGTGGAGAAAATCTGTTGACCATCAAAATAAAACCACTAACAGTAAAATGTCAAGTCTAACAAAACCCACCCTATGAAAGGGGACTTACACCCTCAACCAGAAAGACTGAAAGCCAGCACTTGATAGGTTAAATCTTTTGAATAAGGGAACATTTTAACAAGGAAATCAACAGGTTGACTTTCCATATCCACTAATACTCCACTGTATGTGGGGTGGGTTCTTCTTTAACAAGGTGTATAATAAATTGCACATTGATTAAAAACCCCTTACAACCCCATATTTATTTCACCTATCTGTTCCAACCCCCCTTTAACTAGGGTGAAGGTTTGTTTGAGGCAATGAAAACAAGTTTAAATTGTTCAACAAAGGAAGTGTAACATTGAGTAATATTGGTGCTAGTTTTTAGCTGATAACTCTCTAGCCCATAACCTCATGTGGGAGTTCAGCTGATGATCTTCTAAATACCTTAAATTTGATTTATTTAGATGTGGTCTACAAAATGGTATAAAAAGCATTTCAACTCTATATGAAACTCCAACAAGGGTTTAGCTGAAAAAGAAAAATGTTATTTTAAATAAGACCATCACTAAACAGAGCAGGAGACAGAATTTTATTTGACTTTTGTAGTACATCCTCTAACAGAGAAAATTTAGATTATGTTGGCTAAAGCATACAGTCTCCAATGCAATGATTACACTGAGAAGCACTGGCCGTACAAGAAAAAACCAACAGCAGCTTAATCATCATTTTTAAGTTTCTTGATCTTGTACTTATGGCGTTCGATTTCTTTCTGCAGCCGCTCTATTTCTTTCTTGTGATGATCGATTTCTTCTTCATGATGTTTCCTCAAAGAAGCCAGCTGTTCCGCCTCCTTCTCCCTGCACAGTGCACATCACCAGTTCAGACAAACCAAGTTATTTGGGAGTTTGAGATTGACTTGGTTTAAGTAGACTGTCTAAATCAAACTCCCACCCACCCACAAGTGTCCCGAGACACAGAAGGGTTTCAAAGCTTACATAGCTAATTGGATCACCTTCATTTCAGGACAACAGCAGACAATGTTTCCAACTAGACAGGAACACAGGATTCTATAGACTGATTGGCACCACTGGACACAAAGCCTAGGTTGCTGAGCTACACCGACAATCCCCATCAAGCAGGTATGTTCTCCTGGGAGGGCGGCAATCAGGACTGCGCTGCTGTTAACATTTACCAAACCTGACCCTATCTAGCAGCAGTGCCCCAAAACGAAAAGGCTAGAGTTTACCAGGTCGTACCCCAATTTTATGAAGAGAAATCAGGTTGTAAATGGATGAAAAGGGTAGGGTGCAACACACACAGGTCACAGAGTAACAGCCGTGTTAGTCTGTCTTTGCAAAAAGAAAAGGAGTACTTGTGGCACCTTAGAGACTAACCAATTTATTTGAGCATGAGCTTTCGTGAGCTACAGCTCACTTCATCGGATGGGAAACTGCAGTAGACATTATATACACACAGAGACCATGAAACAATACCCCCTCCCACCTCACTGTCCAGATAAGCTATTACCAGCAGGACAGTGGGGTGGGAGGGGGTATTGTTTCATGGTCTCTGTGTGTATACAATGTCTACTGCAGTTTCCCATCCGATGAAGTGAGCTGTAGCTCACGAAAGCTCATGCTCAAATAAATTGGTTGGTCTCTAAGGTGCCACAAGAACTCCTTTTCTTTTTACACACAGGTCACTACATAGGGTGCTGGGATACTACAGAGATGGGCATGATAGCAGACAGCTCTTCTAACAGAGGGCAACCCCAGCTATTGCTATTTCCTTAACATCTAGGAGGATGCGAGGTCTCAGCCGGGACATTCCAGGGTCTTTCACCCGCCCCTCGCCTCACGCGGCAGCGAGACTCCGCTCTCAGTCTCGAGCGGACTGGGCGCGCCAGGGCCCGTGCAGCCGCCGGCGAGAGGCGTCGGGCTTCTCACGGCGAGCCAGCCTCACAGGGCTGTCGCTACAGGAGGAGCGAGCCCGCAAGCGGCCCGAGGGCACCAGGCGCCGGGCACGGGGCGCAGCCTACGGCAGCGAGCGGGCGACCCCCTGTTCCCGGGCAGCCCCCGAGGGGTCAGACGCGCTGCCAGGGCCCCCAGGAGGCGAGTCCGGGCGCCCGAGGTTACGCGGGCAGCAGCCGGCGGCGGGCCGGACCCGGGCAGGGGCAGCCAGGCTCCCCGCTCTCCCACGCGGGCGGGGGCCGCGCAGCTCGGAACCCAGGAGTCCGGGCGGCGCACGAGACTCACCTGAAGTACCGCTCCTCGTGGGCCGCCTGCCTCTTCCCGAAGGCCCCCCCGGCCTCACGGATCGAGCCGCCGCCGCCGCCGCCCTTCCCAGCCCCGCTCCCCAGCTCGCCCAGCTGCAGGGAGAGACACACGTCAGGGAAGCCCCAGGCCCCGCCTGCCCCCGCGGCGCGGCGCCTCGCCCCTCCCGGCGCCCCTCCGCAGCCGGCACAGAGTCACGCCGGGCGGCCCCGGGCGGCCGGGCCGCGGTACCTGGTCGGAGCCGGAGCCCGAGCCCGAGCTCCATCGCCGCTGCTGCAGCGCCAAGGCCCCGCGCAGGCCCCCGCGCAGCCCCGTCGCCGCCATCGCCGCCGCCATCGCCCGCCTGCCCTTGGCGCGGTCGCTCTCTGAGGCGCCCCGGCCCCGCCTGCCGACGCCGCGCGCAGCCAGCGCCGCCCACGAGCCGCGGCGGGGGGCGGGGCCGGCTCCGCGCCAATCCGTGCCGGGAGCGTGGGCGGGGCCGAGAAGCCCGGCCCCTGGGAGAGCGCGGGCTGCGCGCGCAGGCTGGGAGCTCGCGGGGCGGGGGCGGGTCTGTCGGTGCGGGGCCGTCAGCGGGGAGCAGCCCGGGCCGTGGGCGCGGGAGGGGCCGGCTCAGTCCGGGGGCTCGCGGGGCGGCTTTGCTGCTGGTCGGTGGGAAGTCATTCGGGGGGGGTCCCCAGTGCGGGCCGGGGCCCAGCGCGGCGCTCAGCAGGGTGCGGGGCCAGTGGCGGGCCGGGCGGTGCGGGGCCAGTGGCGGGCCGGGCGGTGCGGCGGGTACGTCCCGCGGGCCGGGTCCCAGCGCGGCGCTCAGCAGGGTGCGGGGCCAGTGGCGGGCCGGGCGGTGCGGGGCCCAGTGGCGGGCCGGGGCCCAGCGCGGCGCTCAGCAGGGTGCGGGGCCAGTGGCGGGCCGGGCGGTGCGGCGGGTACGTCCCGCGGGCCGGGTCCCAGCGCGGCGCTCAGCAGGGTGCGGGGCCAGTGGCGGGCCGGGCGGTGCGGCGGGTACGTCCCGCGGGCCGGGTCCCAGCGCGGCGCTCAGCAGGGTGCGGGGCCAGTGGCGGGCCGGGCGGTGCGGGGCCAGTGGCGGGCCGGGCGGTGCGGCGGGTACGTCCCGCGGCCGGGTCCCAGCGCGGCGCTCAGCAGGGTGCGGGGCCAGTGGCGGGCCGGGCGGTGCGGGGCCCAGTGGCGGGCCGGGGCCCAGCGCGGCGCTCAGCAGGGTGCGGGGCCAGTGGCGGGCCGGGCGGTGCGGCGGGTACGTCCCGCGGGCCGGGGCCCAGTGCGGTGCTCAGCAGGGTGCGGGGCCAGTGGCGGGCCGGGCGGTGCGGCGGGTACGTCCCGCGGGCCGGGTCCCAGCGCGGCGCTCAGCAGGGTGCGGGGCCAGTGGCGGGCCGGGCGGTGCGGCGGGTACGTCCCGCGGGCCGGGTCCCAGCGCGGCGCTCAGCAGGGTGCGGGGCCAGTGGCGGGCCGGCGGTGCGCGGGTCGTCCCGCGGGCCGGGGCCAGTGCGTGCTCAGCAGGGTGCGGGCCAGTGGCGGGCCGGGCGGTGCGGCGGGTCGTCCGCGGCCGGGCCCAGTGCGTGCTCAGCAGGGTGCGGGCCAGTGGCGGGCCGGGCGGTGCGGCGGGTACGTCCCGCGGGCCGGGGCCCAGTGCGGTGCTCAGCAGGGTGCGGGGCCAGTGGCGGGCCGGGCGGTGCGGCGGGCACGTCCCGCGGGCCGGGGCCCAGCGCGGCGCTCAGCAGGGTGCGGGGCCCAGTGGCGGGCCGGGGCCCAGCGCGGCGCTCAGCAGGGTGCGGGGCCCAGTGGCGGGCCGGGGCCCAGTGCGGTGCTCAGCAGGGTGCGGGGCCAGTGGCGGGCCGGGCGGTGCGGCGGGCGCGGGCCGGGGCCCAGTGCGGTGCTCAGCAGGGTGCGGGGCCAGTGGCGGGCCGGGCGGTGCGGCGGGCACGTCCCGCGGGCCGGGGCCCAGCGCGGCGCTCAGCAGGGTGCGGGGCCAGTGGCGGGCCGGGTGGTGCGGCGGGTACGTCCCGCGGGCCGGGGCCCAGCGCGGCGGTGGCAGCGGGCAGCGCCTCCGGGGAGCGCAGAAGGGAAGCGGCCGTTGCGCGTTCAGGCGGACCGCTGCCCGCGCCATGGCGTGCTCACCCCCGCGGCGCCATGCAGAGCGGGGCACGCTGGGCAGCTGTCCCACAGAGCGCCTCTTTCTCTTCTGCTGCTGAAACTTGTGGGTCGCGGGTTTGTGCACTGCGCGCCGGGCCCTGCCTCTTTCGGGCTGCAGGAATGGATCCCGCACGGGTAACCAGTATGCTGCTCGGCCTGACCAACACCTCATGAGTGACAGTGGAGTTATTCCTTAAACTACAGAGGCGAGAGGAGTACAGCATTGTTCTCGCCACGCATAGTAGCTATGACACGAGATTGCTTGTGGCATTCACAGAGCTATTGACCAGAGTGGAACTCTGCTTTTGGGCTCGGAAAACAAGCACTGAGTGGTGGGATCGCATTGTGATGCACGACTGGGGTGAGGAGCAGTGGCTGCAGAACTTTCACATGAGGAAAGCCACATTCATGGGACTGCGGGATGAGCTCGTCCCAGCCCTACGACACGAGGACATGAGAATGAGAGCTGCCCTGTCGCTGGAGAAGCACGTGGTGATTGCACTGTGGAAGCTGGCTACTCCAGACGGCTACTGATCTGTCGCTAACCAGCTTGGAGTGGGAAAGTCAACCGTTGGAGTCATGTTGACAGAAGTGTGCAGCGCCCGTAATTGCATCCTGCTCCGAAAGACCATGACTCTGGGCAACATGCATGACATTGTGGATGGCTTTGCACAAATGAGCTTCCCTAACTGCGGAGAGGCGATAGATGGTACGCATATTCCAATTCTGGCACCAGACCACCTAGCCACAGAGTACATTAATCGCAAGGGGTATTTCTCAATGGTTCTCCAGGTGCTTGTGGATCACTGTGGGCGTTTCACAGACATTAACACAGGCTGGTCCATCTTTCAGAACCTGGCCTGTTCAAGAAGCTGCAAGCAGAGACTTTCTTCCTGGACCAGAAGATCACCGCAGGGGAAGTCGAAATGCCCATTATGATCCTGGGAGACCCTGCCTACCCCTTAATGCCGTGGCTTATGAAGCCATACACGGGGCAACTTGACAGCAGCAAGGAGCAGTTCAACAACAGGCTGAGCATGTGCAGAATGGCTGATGAGTGCGTATTTGGCCGTTTAAAAGCCCGCTGACCATGCCTGTATGGGAAGCTGGACACAGCCAATGACAATATTCCTATAGTTGCTTGTACACTCCATAATATTTGTGAAAGGAAGGGTGAAAGCTTCACTCAGGGCTGGACCACAGAGGCTCAGGACCTGGAGGCTGAGTTTGAACAGCCAGACACCAGGGCTATTAGAGGGGCATAGAACGGGACCATAAGGATCAGGGATGCCTTGAGGCAGCAATTTGAAGCGGAAAGCCACTAATATTTGTTTCTATGCTAGGGATTGCAGTGCTTGCAATTCTAGGAGGTGATTGGTGCACATGATGCAAGAAGGGGCCTTAACATAATTGTCTGTTGCATTGCAGGGCTCTTTTTGCTTTCACTTAATAGAATAAAGATTGCTTTCAAACAAACAATTCTTTTATTAAAAGACAACACCTGGAGGAAAGAGTCAAATGAAAAAATTCATCATCAGGGAGAGGGATGGGGGAAGGAAAGGTCTCAAGAGGAGGAGGGGTCCCAGGACAGCTATAGATTTGTGTATGTCCAGGGATCATACCCAACTTTCTTCTTTGTAGTACAATGCAACTTTTTCCTTTGGAGTACAATGCTGTATTTCAGCAGGGCCAAACTGCAGAGGGATGGGTGTTGAGTGCAGTGGGTAGTGGGAGTCCACAGTGCTGGACTGTGAGGAGGGAGGAGTGGAATGGATACAGCCAGGAGAGCTGGCTGTATTTCAAGGAATCCCTGTTGAGGTTACAGGGAGAAACCATCCCAATGAGTCGAAAGAATAGTAAATATGGCAGGCGACCAGCTTGGCTTAATGGTGAAATCCTAGCGGATCTTAAACAAAAAAGAAGCTTACAAGAAGTGGAAGGTTGGACATATGACCAGGGTAGAGTATAAAAATATTGCTCGGGCATGTAGGAATGATATCAGGAGGGCCAAATCACACCTGGAGCTGCAGCTAGCAAGAGATGTCAAGAGTAACAAGAAGGGTTTCTTCAGGTATGTTGGCAACAAGAAGAAAGCCAAGGAAAGTGTGGGCCCCTTACTGAATGAGGGAGGCAACCTAGTGACAGAGGATGTGGAAAAAGCTAATGTACTCAATGCTTTTTTTGCCTCTGTTTTCACTAACAAGGTCAGCTCCCAGACTGCTGCGCTGGGCATCACAAAATGGGGAAGAGATGGCCAGCCCTCTGTGGAGATAGAGGTGGTTAGGGACTATTTAGAAAAGCTGGACGTGCACAAGTCCATGGGGCCGGACGAGTTGCATCCGAGAGTGCTGAAGGAATTGGCGGCTGTGATTGCAGAGCCATTGGCCATTATCTTTGAAAACTCGTGGCAAACCGGGGAAGTCCCGGATGACTGGAAAAAGGCTAATGTAGTGCCCATCTTTAAAAAAGGGAAGAAGGAGGATCCTGGGAACTACAGGCCAGTCAGCCTCACCTCAGTCCCTGGAAAAATCATGGAGCAGGTCCTCAAAGAATCAATCCTGAAGCACTTGCATGAGAGGAAAGTGATCAGGAACAGCCAGCATGGATTCACCAAGGGAAGGTCATGCCTGACTAATCTAATCGCCTTTTATGATGAGATTACTGGTTCTGAGGATGAAGGGAAAGCAGTGGATGTATTGTTTCTTGACTTTAGCAAAGCTTTTGACACAGTCTCCCACAGTATTCTTGTCAGCAAGTTAAAGAAGTATGGGCTGGATGAATGCACTATAAGGTGGGTAGAAAGCTGGCTAGATTGTCGGGCTCAACGGGTAGTGATCAATGGCTCCATGTCTAGTTGGCAGCCGGTATCAAGTGGAGTGCCCCAAGGGTCGGTCCTGGGGCCGGTTTTGTTCAATATCTTCATAAATGATCTGGAGGATGGTGTGGATTGCACTCTCAGCAAATTTGCGGATGATACTAAACTGGGAGGAGTGGTAGATATGCTGGAGGGGAGGGATAGGATACAGAAGGACCTAGACAAATTTGTGGATTGGGCCAAAAGAAATCTGATGAGGTTCAATAAGGATAAGTGCAGGGTCCTGCACTTAGGATGGAAGAATCCAATGCACCGCTACAGACTAGGGACCGAATGGCTAGGCAGCAGTTCTGCGGAAAAGGACCTAGGGGTGACAGTGGATGAGAAGCTGGATATGAGTCAGCAGTGTGCCCTTGTTGCCAAGAA